GATGAATATGTTAACTAGCTTGATTTAATTATTTCACGTTGTATTCATAAATCATAACGATGCTTTTTACTCCATAATCCTATACAATCATAAATCGTCCATTTACAATTTAAAAAAACTGAACAAAACCTATTGGCACTTGAATTTCATCAATAAGGAAATGGTTCAGTAAACTTCAATTCAGCCATAAAATAAAATATTGTATAATTTAAAAGAATGAGTCTATTCTATGAATATGAGCCTAAAGCTCTGTTCATAATATATTCTTAAGTCAAAAAGACAAATTTCAGAGTTAAACGTATAACATAAGCACATTTTTATTTTTAAAAGATTTGAGGTCAGAACACATAGCTTTATATCTTCCTTCTACAATTAGCATTATAGTGTGATCATTTTCTCATCTGTTATACTCAAACATGATTTTGAGTGATTGCATAGGACTCAATAATAGACTTTATCCATCCAAGTCCTACTGACAGACATGGGTGCTACTCCCACTTTTTCACTATGAGGAATGGCACTATGATGAACTTAAGTCTTTGCACATATCTCTGATGGTATGAAAGGAATGAGTAGACTAATGCATTTGAGCATTTGTAAATCTCTTGCTGGCTACTGGAAATTTCCTTTCCAGAGCGATGACTCTGTGTTGCTGGCTGTCTGAGACTCCCAGTCCCTGGTCTTAGCACCACCTACCTTCCTGATCTTTGAGGTTAGGATATTGTTATTGGGTAACAAAACAATCACTGACTGTAAGAGGCAGAAAGAAAAGTCTTCTGTTCTTAAAAGGGCGTGGCAAGGCTGAGAGGGAGAGGAAGAGGGATGAGGGGATTTTTTAAAAGGGACCGATAACATCACAAGACAGTTATTTTAAGGAAACAGAGAGACTACTTAGCACCCGGGCTAAGGGGACACAGAAGAGACCATCAGAGCCACACAGCACCAGGCAAGAGCAGGACGTAGATACACTGGCGCTGGGGAGAGAGGGGCTTCCTAGCAGGAGAAGAAATGGAGGTGAGCAGAGCAACCAGAAAGCCCTGTGCAGTGTGAATGTTCAAAACATCCAGTTCTGTACAAAACATGAACAACCTGCTAAAGGCAACAGAGAGAATGGTTCCAGGTTTAGCACAGTTGATTGGACTTCCAACGTATCCACCGTCACTTTGGATACACTTGCCCATAGCTCCCTCAACATACTGTGGAGCTCACACCTGTAAAATAAAAGAAAGAGTCAAATCAAGCATTAGCAACTTTATAAATAAATTATCTCTGGGTTGCATTTCACAAATTATTTATACTTTGTGTGGAAGTGAAATTTATTAAAAGTTCAAACCATAGTGACTTTGTGGACAACCTATATCAGGGAAGTCTGTGAGTTTCAGCTCTAAGAATTCCTTGGCATGTCCAGGTGCCCTTGCTTTGGGGAGGAGGACACCCAGCAGCCAGACTGGGAAGCCTCATACTAAAAGGCTCATTTACACTTCCAGCTCTATCAAATGAGTCTCCCTTTGAAAGCACATTATTAGGCCAGACACGGTGGCTCACGCCTGTAATCCCAGCACTTTGGGAGACCGAGGCGGGTGGATCACAAGGTCAAGAGATCGAGACCATCCTGGCCAACATGGCGAAACCCCGTCTCTACTAAAAATACAATAATTAGCTGGGCATGGTAGCGTGCGCCTGTAATCCCAGCTACTTGGTAGACTGGAGGTAAGAGAATCACTTGAACCCAGGAGGCAGAGGTTGCAGTGAGCAGAGGTTGTGCCACTGCATTCCAGCCCGGGCAACAGAGTGAGGCTCTGTCAAAAATCAATCAATCAATCGATCAGTCAATAATCCAGGTTATTGACATTGACCTTAACCAGCTGCAACAGACCTCAACTGTTTGCCTGAAG